TGCAAGGCTTCTCTTGCTTGCAGTCTTTTACATTAGCCCTAACAACAGGGCTAATGTAAAAGACTGCAAGCAAGAGAAGCCCTGCAACAGTCGCCGCGGCTACTAAGGTCAGTACTATTATCTAGCTATCTGGATGGCCTTTTCAAATTGCACAGTGAGGCTACCGGAAAGTGGCTAAATTACAACCAGAAATACCGTTAGTCCATTGGTTCACATTCTACCATCAGGTAACATTTCCTCATTTGAGAGGAATACGGGTATTAATAAAGATGATTAAACAAAGCGCGGGAAAATAAAAGAACCGTGCACGGCTGTGTCGGACCAGAACTGAGAAAGGGGACCGGCTTCGTCATGGCGGTTTCCTGGACTTCGCTTGTTCTTCTCACCACACTGGGATAGCCTGCAAGCCAAGATGACCCAAGATGTGTGCGGTCCGATTACTGGAAAAATACACTTTGTATTTCCCTTTCCGCAATCAACTCAGTAACGATAACTCCTAACGTAGTACTATGATAAGGGGGCACCATGTTCAATAGAGAGTACATGTCAACACGTGGTGAACTAACATGATGTACATTATCTCCAAGCAGGACTCTTTCGGTGGGGTTAAGACAGTATCAAATTAGCCAGCCTGTATCCATTTCCAGACAGTATCAATTTCCCCACCTGTTAGCGCCACTGTTTTGATAGCCACTTAATGTGACTTTTTTTATATATTTTACTGGCAGGCATATTGGACAGGAATAAAATAAAGTGCTGGCTCCTTTTGACTTTTTCATCTGGGATGAAAAAGTCAAAAGGAGATGGTCTCTTGTTTACTAGAATATGTGAATGGAGTTCGGGGAGGTTTTGGGTACAAGGGACAGGTGCCATTCTTATCTGTGAGAAGATGGTGTTTCAGCACCAAGGACAAGTATGTATACTTGTGAGAGTGGATGATGTTCAGCACCGGGGACAGACATGATTACTAGAGAGCGAATGGTGTTCAGCACCAAGGACAGGTATGTTTATCTGTAAGTTGATGGTGGTAAGCCCAAGGATGAGCAAGTTTACTTTTGGGTGCATGGTGTTTTGGACAAATGTTTCATACCGGTATGTTCATCAGATCAGGATTTCCCTCAAATCTTTGAACAGAAGGAAACAGTTCAGACACTTTGTGAGCTCAGGTCCTTTTGGATCTAAGACTTTCTTTATTTGGGAAATTTTCTTTATTTATTTATTGTTTGACTCAGGCAAAGCCCATATACAACGTTGACAACACAAAATACATAAATTTAAAAATACGGTGTCTGGGATAAAAGAAACGGGGCCTATTTAAGGTCTGCATACCAGCTGGCAGTACCTACGCCAGAACTGACTTCTGGGGAAGGCATCAGAGCGTAAGAGCAAACTGATGATGCCGTTACCGGACGCCAGGAGGCGAGCCGCAAAAGAGTGCGTCAGCTTTCGCCTCCTGGCGTCGAAGGTGTCGACACCCAACTGGGCAAAGAACAAGCTGTTACTGGTGGAGCGAGGCTGAGACATAATGATTTTGAAAGCATCATGCATATATGGTAAGCAACCCGCAGCCTCTGCAACACACCTGCGCTATGATTGTTCCATAGTTGTACGCAGTACATGGGGGAACAATGTGCTACAAAGAGTATACGCTTAACTTCAGCGGAACAGTTGCCGAAAGTTCGGATTAAAGAGTTCGCTTTTGTGTACAACTGGCGGGTTTGATTACGGATGGAATCGTCGTCGGAAAGGTCCGGTGTAATTTGGTAGCCAAGGTAAGTGACCGAAAGCACATAGGGCAGTGGAGTGCCGTACAGTTTCACAGATGGTGGCGTACTACATGTAGGCAAGCGGCTTCGGTGACAGGGGAAAAACATACAGTTCGTCTTCCTGTCACAGAAGGTCATATCATTTTCGGCACCAAAAGTCTCACATACATGAATAATTTTCTCTAGCGCTTTCGCCGAGGGACATATCAGACAAAAGTCGTCGGCATACAAAAGGTGATTTACAGGGACTCTGCCAATAAAGCAACCCACATTGGCAGCGTTTAACTTAACGGTAAGGCTCGTAACGTATGCATTAAATAGTAGAGGGGAAAGTAGACTCCCCTGGGGAACACCGTTGCCGAAGCAAAAGCTATCCGAAACGGAAGATCCCCAACGCACCCTGAGGGATAACATTTGAAACCAGTAAACTATAATACGTACTAAATAGACGGGTACATTTCTATCAAGTAATTTCTTATACAGAGTAAAATGATTAACTCGGTCAAATGCCTTAGAGGCGTCAAGAAAGCAAACAAATACAGAAGAACCTCGGCTTTTGAAGTAAGAGATTATCTCTTTGAGTGCGAAAATACACATGTCTGTCCCATGGTGTTTTTTAAAACCAAATTGATTCGCCGGAGATAATAAGTGCTTCTCCAGGCGACTGAGGAGAAGCGTCTTTATGACGAGAAATATATGTATCAAAAGGTCACATCAACACATCAACCTCATCTGTACCTGCAAAGTTTTCAAAGGGATGTTGGATATGCCCCGATGGGTACAATCACATTCAATGGATGGCTGAATAAAAATGTGAAGAACCCCCCTCACCCTATTCTTTATTCATTTAAGACTCATAAAGGACAAATGACCAATTCCACCATCATAGCTGACTGTTTGGTCTGGACTTCCTGAGAAAGGTGATCATTCTGGGCCACAGGTCCTCCTGAGCAGCACAGTGGGCTCTGGTCTCACCTCCATAATCTATGGTTGTATCTGGAACAAAGCAGGATGGCTGTTGCTGTTTTATGGCTTACAATTGTCATGTGGTGAACTCATGAAAATTGACAGGAACCCAATCTGTACTAGATAGAAGGAAACAGACAAACAAGAAATAAACCCATTAAATGCACCAATAAGTTTTTTTGTTACATTGTACCAAAAAGAAGCTTGTTGAAATGCTTCTCTGATTTTATCAGCTGGCTTAATTGTAAGAAACTGATTCATCATGTCATATAAGAAACACTCTCTTTGATTTGATTGAAGCAAAGACAAACTTCAACCGATGAAAATGTAAAATCTTTAAATACAACAAGTTATAATCATTGTACTGTAGATTGTGAAGTGTAAGACTATGTTGTTTTAACAGATGGTTATTTTACAGCGATAAGATGGACAAAAATGGCATACCTAAAATAGGGTGATAGGCTATTTTGCAGTGTGGCATGTAGGGTGGCTCTAAGAGATGCCCTGCACCTGGGTAGGTCAGAAGCTGGTAGTTGGTTTTTCCATGGGCCTCCATCCGTGCTATGGCCTGTGAAATAACAAACTGTAGGTTGGAAATATACAATCATGTTTGTGGGAACAATTTAAACTTGTCTTGTAATGGCTGCTATGGTTTGATGATGTGTGTTTTGTCATGTCAGGGCATGACTATAACATCAAACATGAATGATTTTAACTCATGTACTCTCACAATTTAAAAAAAAATGTATTTTCTTATTGTTTGTAGGGATACAACTCATAGATATAGGGTTTGCAGGAGAATGCATACTGAGGACAAAATCATTATGATTGTGCTTACCCAATGGCTAATAACATCAAAACCTTCGAGTCAAATCATGCATATAGTATAATGAAATCCTGACCCCCCTGGCTAACTTGGCACTTCTCCAGTTCTTGTCGTCCTCTCCCACCACAAACAGGATGGGGCATGTGATGGTTTCCACCTGTGGAGACACGAGAAGTGTTAACCCTTACAGAGCTTCACTGTTGCTATGATTACTGTATATCATCACCTATAAGCACCTCTCTGGCTCTAGAGCCTCACTGTTAGTAGTCTATGGTTACCATAACCGCTCACCTGTATGCACTTCTCTGGCTCCAGAGCTTCATAATTGCTATGGTTATAGAGTCTGTATGCACTTCTCTGGCACTAGAGCTTCACTGTTGCTGTAGTTATTAAATCTGCTCACCTGTATGCACTTCTCTGGCT